TCCCGTCCAGCAAAGTTTCTGGTACGACTTCGAAGTTGCGTGGTTGAAGTTCGTCATAGATTAACCTAACGCAACCCGGGAAGCCGAGCGATTTGTAGTTCCATGTTCCGAGTTTCGTAGTCCTTATTTCGTCGCGTAGGTCTGTGCCGATTGTTCCGATCCGTATTTCTTTCATCAGTATTGTGACTATGGCAAGACCAGACACTCCCGGGCAGTGCTGAGATTTGTCATTGTCATTGACAGACTTTTGCGCGATATTGACAAAATTGTTTTTCACATAGTCAATGATAGACTTGATCCTCAAAAAAATCTTTGTCAAAATCTCATTCATTTTTTCGTCAATGACAAAGATTCACCTGGTAACAGAAAGGGTAATTACTTGCATTCTGAGTTACATTATTATTATCCAAGCTGTTCATGTCGAAGATGCTTTTTCACTTTAATGGCTCCATGTGATTGTTTTCCTCAAGCCATTTAATTTCATTTTAAATTTAGCTTATAAACAAATCAGCACATGTTCGTCACTGACAAAAATGCCACTGACAATTGACATGGTTTGCCTTGACGATGACTGTTAGCTCAAACGAGTGACCAAACCAGAATTTTGAGTATCACCGTGTATTGTCGAAATTGTGCAGCACTGCTCCCGGGTAACTACACTCAAAAAATTTCACACGTTTGATCGAAGTGTTTAAACACTTGATTTTCTAAATGCACAATCACATTTACTTTAAGTGTATTTCACCTTGGTTCAATGTGTTATACACGTTAATTTATAGTGTTTCAAACTTTGAAATGTTGAAAATCTTTCACTATCTATTCAAGTGTATTGCACATTGAACCACGCTACTGTTCAAAACAGATGGATTTAAAGTGTTTTGCATTTCAATACGATGTGAATTGCTTGCTCAGAAAGGTAAACATCTATAACAAGAGTTGTGACTTTATCCTATCAACCTGCCTCATATATGAGAACAACCGTGGCACAGTGAGATCGAACGAAGACTCCGGCAGCAGCACACCTCAACAGTCCATGACCGAATCCCAAATCAGACTCATTTAAAAGATATGTGAGAAAGCTCTGACCTCTGGAAGTTTTGTTTATATATTTGTCGATTCATTTTTAGAGTCGGTAAAGTAGAATTCGATAAAGTAGAATATTGAACTATGGTGTGCAAAGCTTTTGATATCACCATATGAGGCACATAGAATCCAAGTGTGTCACAATTCAAATCCATAGTGTTCAGGCATGGTTCATAGCATAAGATTCACACATGAAATGTATGTGTTTCACAATGTGCGCAAAATTAAGTGTGAGACACATGATGATGACGTGTGGAATTTTTTGAGTGTAGCTCAGTAGCATGATAAGGGGTACTGTGTCGCAGGGCCGGCATGTTACTGGGTATTCGGAGGGGCTACGCGGACAAAGTATGAAACACACAGGAATATTCACATTTTCTAACATTTATTTGCCCTTTTCTGTGGCGTGTGGGTGTGGGTTTTCACATATATGTGGCGTGTATGGGAGAGTTTATAAACGGTACGGTACTCACTGTTGCAGCAGATTCTCCTTCGGTGTCGCGACGCTGGCGTTGGCCCACACGGCTGCTCCTGCACTACCGTGTGGCCGGAAACTTGCGGCGCAGGCTGCAGACAGTGTTGTTGCCGCTTTGGGAGAATGGCGGATCTGGTGGCGTTCATCAGCCACATACGGCTCAGCAGGCGTTGCTGGCTCGTTTGACTAGCAGGCGTCTTCCGTCGTTGACGGCATCGGCTGTCCGTGGCATGGCCACCTTGGTCGAGCCGAGACGGGACCCTCCTTGGTAATTAAGGCCGCGCCATCTTGACTTCCGAGCCGAGCCGTGTAAGACCGTTTTATTTACGGTACGAGGTCCTGAACGGAGGCAGTCCAACATTCCAGAAACCCCACAAGGGGGGGGGGGGTACACTAAATGGCACTGCACTTAAAAATACCGGTCTTTTGCACACGGACGCCTGTTTGTTTGTCGTCAATCTTCCACTGAAAGATGGCCTCTCCAATATATCATTCTCCCTCTTTTCGCACAACTATTTTTGTGCGAGATGTTGTATAATAGTTTTTTCAGTAACGTTTTTGTTCTTTGCAGCGGCACAAACCCTCTCGCTCTTGTGTGTGTCTACTGTTTTATGTTTAACAAAACGTGAATTTTCCACACAACAACAACTCATACAAACGAAAATCCACGGATTGTAACCAACTGGTTACAGTATTTCCACCTCTACACTTTGCTATTGCCGAACTGGCAACATTACCCAGGCTACGCCACCCAGCTGTGTCCATGTTTCAGCTGGTAGTCTTTTGTTTTCAAATGACTCGAGGAGGCGTGAAGTAGGAACTTGCGAGAACCAGGGCTAGGTATTCCGCTCCTTCCAGATTGTCAACTCACCATTTTGTAGCCCATTTTGCTGGCTACAGGTATTGATTAATGGGTTTAGGCAGTTTTTAAAGCACTGAACGCGTACTTTTGACTAGGAATTATGATTTTTAATTTTTAATTGAAACATACGCCTACTATGATGATACAACATCTGACAAATCATCAATCATCAATAGCCATAAAATAAACAATTGTGAGGCCCACAACATGTTTTAACACATAAATTTTTGCTCAGAATAAAATATAAGTTTAGTTTTTATATTTTTAATGTCGTATTCCAATTATTTTAGAAAAGTTAAAATGTATTTTAACGCTAAGTAAAAAAACAAAAACAACGGAAAAATATTTTTTTAACGATGACATATTTTAAACCACACAGATACTAGATGATGATTTTTTTTTTCCTTGATTTGTTTTCCGTGCTGAGTACCAATGCTTCCGATGCCAGGGAGGCAGCTCCCACACCTTGGACCCTACACCTATCGAGCCATCAACTCATGAACCGGAGACTAACGGCTTTACTTCCCGCGATCAGAGATGTTATGCCTGGATTCAGAACAAAGTTCTGAAAACGATTTTGAAGTTGCCTCCCTGGTACAGTACTACCGAAGTACATCGAATTTCGAATGTTGAGACTTTAGAACAAATGTCCAACAAAATAATTAATAATTTCAGGCAAAAATCGTTGCAATCCTCAATTGCAACGATTAATTCCCTTTATAGGGTAAATGTCGGCTTCGGCACCCATTGACTGTTTTCGGCAACCAAAATTTAAACGTTAATTTCACTATGTTTTACCATCAACACACTTCCCTGAATGTATCCAAACGATTCTTTAGTCTTTCAGCTTCAATCTGATTATATTTGTAGGACCGAGCAATCCTGTTATGCCAGATTTTTCTTCAAATGAAGCATACGTACTACAAAATGGGGTTGATTTCGAGTTGCCGATAATAGAACAGCTGGTTAACACGCAGTTCTAATGGGAAGGTTGCCGAAGAAAAAGAGGTTGACGACAATAGTCACACTCACCTGAGAAGTTTAGAGCGTTGTAAAATCGTTTTCAAACAGTTTTGCAGAATTCTGTCGATTGGAATGGATGGAGAAGCAAGCAGCAGATGAATTGAAACAAACAGACACGTCATATATGTGCGTGACGCTGTGAAAATGCTAATAGAAGTGCGGACGCTGCTTAGATTGACGAGAATACGTAAATTCCCCTACTTAGATAAGATTTAGTTTTAGTTTTTAGTTTTAAGATATCAATTGTTATACTGACATGCAGGGACAAGAGTCAATTCCAGATGCTCTAAGGGGAGTTACCCACTGTTGTGGTGGCATCTGCTAGCATGTCAAAACATCATGTCGACATTCTTTTAACGCCACTCAACATCGACGTGTTGTTTTGCCTAACCAGTGTGCGCCTGGCTTCATGTACTATATTACTACAGAAGACGGGCATAAAAGGATATTGTATAACCCCGGGTCTCCGTACATAATACGTTCGTCACCTTATAAGACACACGGGCAAAAACTGCTTCAATATTCATCAAAACACGTGTCTGAATCAATTTAAAGTTAGCAGTATAGAGCCAAGTGACGCAAATCTCGCTAAGCACAAAAATAAAAACCAGTCTCCACTTTTGATTAATGGGCTTCAGCTTTTGGACTCCGAAAAGAAGCATACAGTCGTCAGTAGCTCATCGTGCGTTTTCTTCTTTTAGTTGGGAAATTAATAATTGGATGACGTCCCAACTTAATATCAGTTATCCGTCAGAAAGCTAGTCTTGACATTGCTTTCAGTAGCGAATAATGACTGTAATCCTTTGAAGAAAAACTCTTAAAAATCTTCCACCGTTATCTCTGCAGGCGTAGATAAGCCACAAATCCGTCTAAGTGTCGGAAAAAGTCTCCTAAAGACAAGCCACATTTACTGTTCTTACAATGTATCTAAATTTATGAGCATTAAAAATGCTTAGATACGGAGTCAAAATTCCATTTTTCATCAAGTGCAGATTAACAAATTTGCATTTACCAAATAATGTCGGCTGATGCTGATTGCGGGCATCTCCGCAATACTACTACGATACGACCCAAATTGCAGTGGATTAACACGATAAGCGAGAGCGCTGAGGAATTTCTCGGAGTGATGGGTGTGATATATTTACTACGAATCACTGCAAATAAAAATGCATTTTTTTTTTAAGCTGGCTTCAGGTATCTCACCAGTATTGTTTGATTACTATCGTTTTTATTATCATCTCACAAAGAGAACGACGGATGTTGTTTCGCTTCTTGGTGCTAGCTAGCTAGCATCATTTAAATATGTACAAAGTAGAACATATCTGGTCGGTGTTAAGTCAGACCGAACTAAGTGACATTTTTTCATTGTGTTCGAGGAAAACGAATTTAAAGTTTGCAGAAGAATTGATTCTTATGTAACCCGTTTGTCTGTTTTCCCTTGCTGTTTGTAACACTTACCAAAACTAACTAACGTGAAATTTGGCTTAGGAAATGCTTGATCCAATGCTATCACTATTTAATAAATCCCCTCTGACTTAACGCTGACCATATATGAAATGATTTTTTTTTTTGCTTTAATATTTTACTATACAGTAAATTGTATATGATTTCTAGTTTTTTTTTTAATAACAAAAAAAAATTATTCAGTGTTCGATCCCATGCATTTCTGCATGCACAACCTTTGCTTGGATTTGGATGGCTACGGCACTGTGTGGAATTGACGGTCGACGACGATATCTATAAATATGTACTTTAATAAAACAAATATTCCGGCCCTATGCTAAAAACGCGGCGACAGACTCCATTTCAGGCTTGATTTCACAAAAAATGGGCAGTTTGATTTAGAATTTTCTCCTATTTCATGTGAATGTGTAGCTTAATCACAAGTCTTTAGTTCTGCTGCCCAGACTTTACCTAGGCAAAATTTCATTGCTCAACAATTATACGGGATAATCGAGTGTGTTAATGAACTTAACTAGAAAATCACTCGTTCAACAGGTAAACGTACAAGAATATCAAAACAGAATAACATAGATGATTAATCTAAGTAAAGCAACAAATTAGGATAGTAGGAGGGAGAGGTGTATTGGGAAAGGGTAGGAGCAATTGTGAATTGTTTTTCTAGGAGTGAAGAAGGGTGAGAAATCGTTATTGCCTAGTTGTTTTTCTTAAACCGAAAGAAATCGTACTCTACAACAGCCTACATCACCGTAACCCTTGCGGAAACTCGGAAAGGTCCCGTAAGGAAAGTGTCACTGCCTTTGTTCGGCTGCGTTGTTCGTCCGATACGTAGCCGTCGTCGTACCGTTCGTGCCGTTGGCAATATTGCTATTTCCGTTCTCGTAAGCTGGTGCTTCGATCGAGGCTGGCTTCTCAATCACGTCATTATCCGGATTGTCCCACGGTTGCCGCTCACCGGACGCGAAGATATTGTAGAACGTCGCGGTGAAGATGTACACTGCAGCCGCAATCACAAATACGATTCGCCACTGAGCAATTGTGGGCTGAATTGAGGAAAAGAAAGGCATACGTTACTCAATTGTGAATGAGTTGATTCAATTGAGGAACTTTGTTGGTCAATCTATTCAGAGATCTAAGTCTTACCTTGCCCTCAATAATGTTACCAGCTGCGATCGGAGCTAATAGACCAGCTAGATTAGCGGAACAGTTGGTAAAGGCCATCAGGATACCAGCGTAGCGTGGCGTGAGATCGAGATGATTGATCTTAAAGCCGGCGTAGATACCACCGTTAAAACCGACACCAATGGTCAGGATTGCCACCGTCAGGGCACGGTTGCAACCCGTGTACGATGCAATGATGAGCGCAATCGCCGGGCCATACTGACCGATGCTGTTCGAGATCTTACGGGTCAGAGTGTGCGTGAAGCGACCCGACGTCAGCATCCAATCGGCAACCCAACCGACCCCGATCGAGAATATCCACATAGCCAGATAAGGCAGAGCCGAAAGCGTTCCGTTCTGAAATCAGTACAAATAGGTCACAATCGTAGCAAGCGAAGCGAATGACAATCATATTAGACATAATGAGCGACGCCTACTGCTCAATTAAGTAATCCACTTACCGCCTTGATGGAGAATCGCAGAACTTGCTTCATGTATGTGGGCAGCTCGGTCATCAGCGTCTCGTAGCCGTAGTTTTGACCCAAATGCGCCAACAGAATTGCGTAGAATGGCATCGACCGGACGAGCGAATTCCATGGAATTGGAGGAATGTTTACTCCGGCCTTGCCCCACAGTGACTGCTGAATGTATTTGCGTTCATCTTCCTGAATGGTGGGATGCGTGATCGGATCTTCGTGGCAAGTAAGCAAGAAAGCTATGGACCAAACGGTACCGATGATTCCGAACACGTAGAAGATCGAAGGCCAACCGCCATCAAATCCGTTATCTGCTAGCAAACCTGACAGCGGCATAGATATGACCGTTCCGAATTGAGCACCTATATATAAACAAAAACACTCGTTAGAGCGAACTCTTTCGAACCTAACCCGATCTCATCCCTCACCTGAATACACAATCGATCCGACTCTCGATCGCTCGTTCGGCGGAATCCATTTAGCCAACATGGCATGAGTACATGGCACAATCGGACCTTCACCCAGACCTTGGATAAAGCGAACGACGATCAACCACGGAGCACCACCCTGGCGGGCAGCGATCGGAACCAGGAAAGCAAACAGAGAATTGATCAACATTCCCCACCCGAGGAACCGCATGGCACCGTACTTCTTGGCCAATAATCCGAATGGAATCTGCGTGATCACGTACCCGTAGAAGAAGGACGATAGAATGTAACCCTGTAGACTGGTACTCCACAGAAACTCTCCGTCTTTTCGATCAGCTGGATTCTCTGGCTCACCGTAGTCCGTATCCGGACATTCGTCATCAAACACCTCCGCTTCGTGTTCAATCGCAGTTTGGTTCACCATGGCCACGATGGCTACGGACATGTTTGTTCGCATAACGTATGCATTGGCCATGCCAAGGAACAGCATGAACACGACATAGTGCCGCGTGCCGAAACGCCCTGTACAAACAATGATTAAGAAAAGGGAACCGGGATTAGATGTGAGGTTTAATAGACGCCGGACGTGCGATGATGACGGGTGATCACGTTGCATTTAAACCAGTGGCGGGATTGGTGCTCGTTTGCATATTATATTAAAATGATTAGAATACAATTAGGTAAGGGTGTGTGAACGTGGAAGATGATACCGAAACGATATACAGCAACGGCACATGAACGGAGAATATGTATGCACTGTAAATCGTATTGTTTGATCTGAATTTACGCGAGGCGAGTGAACGGAGTGTTTCGCGGCGACAAGTTGTGAATAAACATCAAATGAATCAAAGTAATCTGTGTCGGGCATTCCTCGCTTGTAACCACCCTGGTGTTAAATATCTATGTCATGGCCATCTTGATCGTATCGAGGACACACACACAATCATTCAAACGAAGAAAAAGCGGATTCAATTAAAATTAATCAAATGACAATTAAAAGAAACAAACAGATTAGATCAACATAATAATAATTTAAGGTCATAACGTTCATGTTTTTTGCGATCCTTTGGACGGTCAAGTTTGCGATAAAAATTAAAAAGGTGTTGGCAATATGTAGTGCAAAATAATTTCGAATCTTTAGAGACTATAACAATGTACCTCCCGATACTTAGAAACTCGGTAAAAATTCGCCGAAATTGGTGCAAAAATTCGTTGATGACTCATTACACCAATTTAAGCGCAATTTGGAAGATAGGCCCATCAAACCATAAAACAATGTGGAAAAGGCGACGAAAACGCGTTTATGACATTGTTTATTAACCTATTTTACAATGATGTCTCGCATGTCAGTCAAAATAACTTAAATGAGTCAAGATTGCAAACAAGTGCAATAATGACCGATAACACGTAACAATTGCCAACCCTTTCGTATTCAAGATGAAATCATAAAGCCATCAGGATGGTAAGCCCATCCTACGCGGTGCAAACAATTAATTAATAAATTTCAAAACATTATCTAATCTGCTAATCTTCACCGAAGGCTCGCCTTTCCAAAGTTTTCGTTACGCATTATCGAAACCAGTTTTCTATTTCGAGGAAAAAAATCAGTTAGTAGACGTCTGTCTGGTCGATAACGAATACAAATTTACTTCAATTGATATATGCCCTGTCACCTGTTAGTTTTTGTTCTGTCAACTGTATCAACAGAATGACAAACGAAAAAAATCCAAATCAAATATAGTTTATACTGCCCCGTCGAAAAGCTCTTCAGGATCAAACAAAACAAAACATCCCGAAACAATGCTCACGTGTTTGCAAGCTCATCCTCCCCCACCAAGTGGGCGTCGGACGACGCCGTCATGCTCACGGTGCATCAATTTCACGCTGTTGTCATACCAACCATGAAACAACATCGGCACGTGTACAATTGGGTTGCTTTGATCGCGTGCCCGAGGCCTACTGGTACGCCAACTCGGATCTGATCTTTATTTTTAAAGAGACACAAGTCTAATAATATAATTTATACAAGTTCAAGTGTCGTACTCGGGAATCATTTGGACTCAATCATAATAAATAAAGCGGTTGTTAACGACGTACGAACTCGACAGCGGAAGGCAACAATTTCGTTACGAATTAAGATTGACGCAAATTTCGCCTTTTTCTTGTGCCGTGTTTCAGTCACGGGATTTGTGTACTATTGTATACAGTTGAGATGTTTTTTTTTTCGAAAAAAACGGATTTTACTTTTTCTTGGGGTCGTCTCAATGTCAATGAACGCGTTAATTTTTGCACCGATTTCAATCCGTTGGAAGGTGATTGATACATTGAGATGAAAGCGAGTTTAGTTAGTTAATACTAACGTTCTTTTTGGGGGTGTTCCTCGTCAATGCCGGCTTGTTCCCACACTAGAACGTGTCCGTCACGGGTCCGATTCTCGGTCGTAGCAGCGGGAGGCATCTTTCTTTTCTTCGCTTATAAACTTGATGTTATCATAAACACTTTTTAGACTATTCGACTGTATGAAGTTCGACTACTTCTTTCGGTGCCTACTGAGATCTTTTTATTTCTCACACTCGGTAACTCGCGGGTCACTTGGATACACTCGTTTCGAAAATACTAATGACAGTCTGTGGTCAATCGCTCCGAGAATTTCATACGACTGAGCAGCGGTGTTCCTTACTCTACAATCTTATCGCAGAGTAAAATACACACGGTTTTCATTCACAGCTGGCCGACGAAAGTATTCTTATATTTGTGTACATCAAGAAAAACAATGAACAAAAACAAATAGTTCGTCGTGCTGTAGACACTATCGGCGACGTAGAAACAGTGGTTGAGCTTGAACCATTACGGATCTGTCGTGCAACAATTCCGGTTTCTCCTTGCAGGCGTGTGCACAAATTCTAGCATACAAATCCGCTTTTCTTGTCATACATCATTTCTTCGAGGAACAAAAGAAATATCTGTCACAGCTAGAAAGGCGCCATAGTCTCCAAGGCAAGCTACGATCCACTATTCTTATTGACCGAATCAGAGAAACAACACTACAAAACTATTAGAATATCACAGAGGATTTCAGAGATAGCAGAAGAGATCACCACCTTCCGAGCTGCCGATCGACCGACTAACTAACGGAGCACATTTTTTCTCGCTGATAACAAAAAAACGCGTGTGAGTTCACCTATATCAAAGTATGTCTATCTCGTTCTGGCGGCGATAAGCCTCGCGATTGATTAATCAAAACTCGCTCGCCTGCCGCGACTGATGAACGAAAGTGCTATGAAGACATTCATTTTAATAGTATTCAGCACTAGGTAGTAGGCTGTGAATAAGCGCCACATGGTCGTGAAATACACTTACAGATGACGCTCGCGCTCGCACGCAAACATTCTAAAGGAGACTACATATATTTCAGGCTGTCCGTCGTCGTAGCGTCGTGTCGGTTGGACTATTCACGAATTAATATTCAAATTCGATTTCCTTGTCTAAGTGGGTACAATGTGGTAGCGCGACTTGCGCGGCTCCTACTTAGTGTAAATACTTGGCAGTGACTGTTTTGCTGTTTTCAATTCAACAAAAAATTATAAATAACACTGTCTCCCCTGACATACGAGTGGAGGCGGTCAGCGCTGTGAACACGGCGAAAGCGGTATGCAAGAGCGAGAGGGCACGTTGACCCGAGCGGCAAAGTGTCGCGTGATTTGACCATAATGTAAACAGTGCACCCGTGCGCATCGGAGTGATTAAAAGCTGATGACTGCTTCACTTGCATCCGCTAGGTTGCTTCAGTAGGCGTTGCTTTAATTCCGAAAATGGCAACGGTCATCAAATCAAGGGACGCTAGATTGTTGCAGGGATTTCGTATTCAGATTTATGTTTGTTATAATTACGATAGTGACACAAATTAAAACATTTGTAACCAGTTTTACAAGGGGTGGTTTTTTTTTAAATATAATTTAATTATCAGCTCTAATTAAAAGTCGACACGATTTTGAAAACCATTCAATCAGGGGGCGGGACATCTTGGCTGAATATATCAAAATATATTTTGATATTATTACATTTGAAAATAGTTAAATATTTTCGATGATATTTATGAATATTTGATGATATTTTCAAATAAACCTAAGTTGTCATGCCCCCGGCATTAAAAAGGAAAATTTTAAGATGCTAATTTTGAAGCGTTTTCTCAATGATTACACACCCTTTATAAACATATGTATCATCCTCGCCGGGTGTTTCTAATAATCGACAATGACGTAACTCAAATGCGTGTAGATATACATACCATCATTTTATCAACATCGTTGTCTGTATACGATTGGGAATACACCTTAATATTGCTTAATTTACTGACTCAGAACCGAAATAGCTCTGCCGACTAATTAGACTTTAGCCGATAGCGGCCTCTTATCGGCCTGGCTTGTCGGGGGTCGCATACTTGCGAAAATTTCGCTTGACCATGAGGTTTATGTTTTAATAATGTAGCCACACGAGATTACAATTTCGCGCAAAGGCCTTAATTTGACCAGAATCACGCGATTACGCGATGGCACTACTCCTGTTCCGACAATGCACAATCGGCCGACATTCTCATGTCTCATGTGCCACGGCTCTCTCGCTCGATCTCTCTACTCTAGGGCAACATGTGATAAGGGCCTATGTACCGAATGTAAACAATGACTTTAAATTTCGATTGTGCACGAATCACAACACGCCTACTCAAACTAACTACAGCCATCTGATACAACAAGCTTACTCTACCAGTTAATGCTGTTGGTATGCGTGAATTAGTTTTAATCCGCGAGAAATCGATGATTAAAGTATCTTTAGTACATAGGCCGTTTACACATGCTGCTCTAGTACTGTTGAAGTGTTAAATTGTATAGCAAGCCATGTTTTCCATCCTATGACGTCAACAAGAGAAACGTGCCGACAAGAACATCACGAAGGAGGGAAACACGTGGCCGATTAGCTGTCAAATAATTAATTAACGATTGTTGTGTTTATTTCACGATGCAATGGTAGTGGATTCGCGGGCCGATCGTTTACAATACATTCACAGCGAAGAACTGATAACTCGCAGCTGAATCCGAATAGCCAGCCAAAGAAGTGCGAAATGAACGGTAGTTTAGCGCTCGAAACCGAGGAGGATCTGCACTACTGACGAGTATCGTGGCCTGCTAACAAAATATGGAAAACTCCGACATCTCTTTAGGGTCACAAGGCACAATGCAGTCAAGCGGCCATTTTGACAGTTTTTCCCCCTTTAGATGATGCTTTGGGTCTCGTTTCCAATGTATTCCAAAATAACACCAAAGCACTAGTCGAGTTTTGTGCCTTTTAATTAGCTTCCACGAGTTATCCTGCCTTCCTCCTCTCGGCGCAGTTGTTGATCAAAGAGCTTCAGAGAGTTAGAGAGTTCCATTAACCACTGCAAAGTTCTATGGGAAGTTCAGGTAAGTCCAGGAAATTTCTGAACGTCCAAATAATATCTGGGAAATCCAGAGAACTTTAGGGAAGTTGAAAAAATTGCAGGGAAATCCAGCGAGCATCGAAGAGTCGATTGAAATTCACAAAAGCTTAAAAATCTTTACAGAAGTTACGTTAAGTGCGGGGAATTCCGAGAACTTCAGGAAAATTATGGGACCTTTAAGTCCGATGAATGAACAGCTTGAAGATTTGGGAACTGTAGAGAAGTCCCGAAAACTTTAGGAAAATTGATTTGATGTGTCGTATAAGGGTTTTTGTTTAAGAAGTGAATTGTGCGTACATGTTGTGCGTACATTACAATTATGAACTCTCATGAAGGGAGGCGCAAGAATTTAAGGTGGTCGGGCCACACATATGAAAATTCAGCGAGTAACCAGCTTTCAATTTACCATGACAGCACTGACCCGTAGAGCTTTGTCTAGAGCTCCATAATATTTTGTTGTAATGACACAGTATTTCGGTCTCTTCAAATTAGTTTGCCGTTTGGATCGTGATGTTCTGCATGCTCAACATGCTGATCCTACCACCTTTATCATAGATTCGTACAATCAACGGAACATCGTAGAATACTTTTTCGAGCTTGGTGCATTGTGGTAGATTTTATTGAACATTTAGAACTTCAAGATCAGAGCACTTTGGAGAATCTTTGTCTTATATCTTATATCATATAGCTCACATTCTTTTATGAGAATTCACGGAGCTCTGCGGGTTAAGAAAATGTAGTCTGTACATCGTACAAATTGAGTCTGCAGAATTTCAATATGTGACCTCCAGAAACTTTGGAGATTCTAAGATATTTTGCTAATACAACTTATGCCCCAGATGATGAGGTACGGTCAAACAAAGCTCTAGGGATTCATTAATTTAGTAGGGACGCTGAGCAAACATTTTTATTCAAGATGTAAGATGTGTTTAGGTTCAACGAGCATTTTTGAATACACAATAAAGTATCGTCTCTGTTGATCCAGAAAATGAAGATCATAACTTTAGAATAATATGGACGTCCTAGGTCATCCTTAAAAATCGTTCCGAAAATGTATATAGGGGAAATGCAGGTAATGTGTCCCTAATTTGGGCCCATACATAAATTCAGCAATCGACTAAATTTAATCGACAATAGCAACCAAAAACATCCATTAGTAACGTCCGAATAACGCGTTCATCTAGATAAAATTGATAAATAGCAGATTTTTAGCGATGGGCCCAATCTTAGATCCATAGGCCAACATTAGAGACATTTCCCCTATTTGTGTACTTCTATACCTTATAATAGCTATTCATGCACCAAGTAGTAAAAAGAAGATTTTTTCAGCACGAGACTTGCCGAGTTGGATAATTACGGCGAGTACAGAAAAATTGAATTTTTTCCACTCAAAAGAGTGCTGAAAGTAGCGCTGGGTGCTGAAAAGTAGTACTTTTCGACGTAGTTATTTAAGTAAGGAAAAGTAGACCATTTTCCTTTCCTTTATTTAACGTCGGTCTCTGTTCCGCAATCTAGTGCCAATCACCGACGGACATCGATTGCCATCCATTGACGGCAATCGAATGTGCAAGAAGGCAGCTTCCACACCTGCGTAGGATATCGCACCCATTCAACACACATGGGCCGGGACCAACGGCTTTACTCCCCTTCCGAAGAAAGACGTGACCAGAGATTTTTATGCCTCAGAAAAATCCCACCGACCTCGGCTGGGATTGTACCCAGGGGTGTTAGAAAGCAGTCACGCTTACCACTACACCACCGGTGCCGGCAAAAGTAGACCATTGTGATATTAAAATTCAAATAAGCCTAAGGAAAATTGGTTTAACGTTTAAATTAGGATGGAAATATAAGAGAAGTCAACAAAATCTAATTCAGGGTCAAAACTGAAATTGCGTCCTCTATGCAACTGATTAAAGCATAACTGAAGCCTATATCAGCTATATGCTGATATACGTAATATCAGCTATAGCCTTCACATAATATTAGGTTATAAATTTCATCCTGAGTGATCAAGTTCTGTTGAAATTGGAAACAAGAAATACCGAAAACGATGAGTTTTCAAAAAGATTAGAAAACCTGCTAAGAGTCTATATACTTAATATCTTACAGTGTCTTACAATGAAGAGAGGGGGTCTAAAATCAGTTTAAAAAACTTAGATGAACCCATAGTCGGTCGATTGAAAGGTTGAAGTTAATGCAAAAACTTTATAATATAGAAGGTTTTGTTTTCCTATTATCGTGCCGATTTAAAAAAAAAATTCAATAACCGTATTTCCCATCTGCAATATACTAGATTCAATAACATTCTTAAAAGGAAAGCAATAGATGCAACTATTTACAATAACAGTTTACCCACAATGTGTACTTCAAAGCATTATTCATCCCATCCCCATTCATGGGCGGCGTCATCAACCTAGTGTGCTAAAACAACAAC